AATAACAAGCAAATTTGTAGTTGTTTCTTTTTGCCCATTTCATTTCCAGTTGAATTTTCATTGTCAGTCAGCAATGGCAAGTGTTTCCCGAGACCGTGTGCGCTCAAGAGCTGAACAGAGCATGAGAGAGAGAGAGAGAGTGCCAGAAAGCTTGCAGGCAATCGGCTTTTTGGCCGCCCTCCCACCGACAAATAATCATGCTTCAACGGTACAAAGACATCTGCTTCGGCCTAAATATGAATGCGTGATCATGTTTATTTGCGTGAATAGGCATAAAATGACGCACAACTAGACAGGGAGACGGAGAAGCATCCAAAAAGCAGGGAAAAAAACGACACTAATAAAATCACATATTTTCGCATTTATTTCCCGTTTGTTACGGTATTGAATACAACGTGGTACACAGCAACAGCAGTAGCAGCAGCGGCATACACACATCAAACCGAATGCAGAAGGATTATTAGGCGTAGCAAAATTTTATCCGCACAAACAACGTTTCCTACCCAAATATAAATGGAATAGTGTTGCATTCATTGTTGTACATTCGTTCGATTGTTCTCTTGCTCATTCTTACGCCTGCCCAACCGACCGCCCGCCCGCCCGCTCGCTCATTCATTCATTGTGCGTTATCGTTTTATTATCATTTCGTTTTCATGTATAATTCTTTCATTCGTTCGGATGGTTTCGTCTGTTTCATGCCTGATACACGCTTACCAAAGCGGAATGATTGTTCACAATGTTGCCGAAGCAGTAGCATCATTCAAGACTGGCCGCTTCAAAAACCATTTGAGGTATTGTACTCTTTCTCTTCATTTATATTTTGTTCGCCATTTATACTTGGTATGACTTTACTACTGGTGACCGATTTTCGGCAGTCGTTACTTGTCTCTTTCCCACATACACGCACAAATAAAAAAAAGAAGGAGAGCAGTGTGTTTTGTGAGACACAGAAAAATACGAACGAGAGACTTCCAGTGGATGAGCACATAAATTCGCGGAATATATTGTTCTTATGAGCGTTGCTGCCAATTGCGTGCAATTTCACCCAATTTTTTGCTCGTTCATTTTCTTTGTTTCTCCGTTAGCCCAATGAAAACGGCAACGAGAGAGAGAGAGAGAGAGAGAGAAAGATAGAGGGAGAGGGAGAGCGAGAAAAGTGTTGGTAATTGTATGTCGATTTGTACTATGTACGAGCGTACGTAGTAAATGGTCTTGGTACTACGCCAACGTGATATGAGTGTACGCTTTAGTGCCAGTGATTCAGTCGCTTTTTTGTTGTGTGTGCCCGTGCGTTTTCTCGTCGTTTCGACAGAATCCAGTAAAACCGAGGCAGTATTTGCGCGCTTGCTCAGTTAACTCGTTCATTACTATTTTGTTACCGAGAAGAGTGATGTCGATTGTTGGCTGCCACTACGCGTTTACTATTACCGATGATCCCAGTTTCTATCACTCTCTCTCTCTCTCGTTGTACCCAGAAACCTCAAGAGTGTAGAGAAATGCGGGAACCGTCATACCGTGTCACTTCTCTATTGCCATCATCTTTGCCGTTTTGCACTTGAAAAATATCAAACAAACGGAAATGTACATGGTTTTTATGATTTAAGCTCGCGACAATGTACGAGCATCGACGGTGTTCACATCAGCCGCCACTTTTTGCGTCCGGCAAAATTCTTAATGGCTATGAGCACAATTACACAATGGAATTAAAATGGATTTTAATGAAACGAGACAAAGCACAAAATAAAACCCAGTAAAATGAAAAATGAAGGAAATAAATTGGAGCAAGCTTAACGGAATCGATGGATTAGACGAAAAACAAAATCGAGATATCATTTTTATTAAGCTTTAATAGAATAACTTTCAATCAGTCCAACACTTATGCAGAGCCACAGTTTACTTGAGACCTATTATTAAAACAGATTGTCTCAAAATGTCACTTCATTCATTAATCGAAATTGATGACCCATTTCGAACGAAAAAGGGAGCAAACGCATTGATCGACCGGTTTTTGGACTGTGAAACGGACGGGCTGCGATGTTGGAATTCCATTGTTACAATGTGCACACAGACACACTCCATCTCGTTCTCTCCCACTCGCTCATTCTGTGCGTATTTTTTTCTCTCTCTTCATTCATTTATTTGACATTCTTGCAGGTACTTTTGCTCGTTATAATAGTTGAAAGTATTTTTCGACAACCATCTGAAGAATTTTGTTCACTTTTGGTATGCTTGTTTGTGCATGTTCTTGGGAGAGTTTAATTTACGACCTTAATAATAACATCAGTTGCGGAAACAAGAAAAAGGACTTGTGCTCTTTTCTTCTTACGTCATTGGTTACAAAAACAAAACCAAACCAAAAAAATAACAACGTAAGAACGAGGAGTCAGACAGAAAATGAGAGAGAGAGAGAGAGAGAGAAAAACACACAAACTTTCAGACTATGGCAACATCATTTTACGCTCGAAGGCACGTAGCTACCGACTGGCTCATATGGTGTCAAAATATTCAACATCACCATCAATTACGAATTCATTTTATCACTTCAAAAAAAAAAAAAAAAAAAAACACACACACGCTAAGAACCGATTCGATTGCGTTTTCAGTGTATTTTTAAATTTAGCTCGGTCAATAAATTGTCTCTGTTGAAAGAGCAACAACAAAGTAAAAGCTAGAGTAAAAGACGAAATAAAATTTTTTATTCGGAATGTGAAAATGTACAGAAAGAAAACGATGTCGATTAATTTTTCGATTAAAGGCTATACAACCGCTTTGCGATTATATCTGCCTTTCCCCCGATACTCTTCCACCGTAGCACCGATCGATTGGATTGCACATTTTTTTTTCAACGGAAAAAAATCTAAACGTATTTAACAGGAGGAAGACACAATTTTTTCTCGAAATGTATTTGGTCGCTTTGAAGTTGACACAGATTACCTTTGATACAAATTCGGTCATGCATGCAAATCAAGACGGAATGCTCGTTTGTCAATGCGTTTGCTCGATGTGTAATACATATACTCTAGAGTGGTCCAAAAAAAAAAGTTGTCCCTCATCCGGAATGTTCGGCCAGTTTCGAAAAATATACCTCAAAAAAATAGGTTCTGTCTAAAAAAATGATATGGGTACCATACAAAATCATGAGGCAAGAATTATATGAAATTTTTCATGACAGCGATTTCGGAAGCCATTTTGGATCGCAACATTTCGACTAATTCCATTATTCCAACCAAATTTCGACAAAAAGTGTTGATGGGGTTTTGTTTGACTCATCAATATCTACAACTTTTACCAATACATCAGCCCTTGAAAAGGCCTTCTGGGCCAGTTACAGTGTAAAATGACCGGAAAAATGGCAATTTTTCGGCATTTTTTGCATTTTTTGCTCTACTGGTCCCCCAGGTGGTAAATTTTTGTTCAGTTTTCGACTCGTGTCGTGTAGCCAGCAGCCGTATGAACAATTTGGCACTTCTCAGATTGCAATTTGGATGGAATTTAGGGCCGATTGATTCAGACATATATGACAAATTTCAGGCCAAAATGGGCAAATCACAAACATGAGCTTCGGTTTGACAGGTAAAAGCCAATAATTTCTACCTTATCTGCCTTTAAACATCTAGTATGACCCTTTAAGAACATTTTGGATACTTACATTACCAAATCGAGTGATGTTTTCACATATTTCTGGCCTCATATTCTATTTCAACTCCCAAAAAATCGACTTTTGACCAAAAAATCCTTAAGTATAGGCTTTTTAGGGGTGGTGTCTTTGTGCAATGCTATTTCTTCTCAAAAATATGGGGAGTCTACCCAGACAAAAACTTTCAAAATTGACTTTTTAAGGTACCTCCCTAACAAAATATACGTTTTCCATGGATTTTGCTATGAAAATATCAATTTTTGTTCGGAAGGTACCCCAAAAATACACTTTTTGGTTGAGTTTCTTAGTACAAAGTTATTTTTTTCGAGAAATATTGGGAATCTACTCACACAGAAGCTCTTATAACTGATTTTTGGGGTACCTCTCGAACAAAAATTGATATTTTCATAGAAAAATGCATGAAAAACGTAACTTTTGCTCGGGAGGTACCTCGAAAAGTCAATTTTGAGAGTTTTTGTCTGGGTAGACTCCCCATATTTTCGAGAAAAAATAATATTGTACCAAGACACCATCCCTAAAAAGCCTATACTTAAGGATTTTTTGGTCAAAAGTCGATTTTTTGGGAGTTGAAATCGAATATGAGGCCAGAAATATCTGGAAATATCACTTGATTTGGTCATGTAAGTACCCAAAATGTTCGTAAAGGATCATACTAGATGTTCAAAGGCAGAAAAGGTAGAAATCATTTGCTTTTACCTGTCAAACCGAAGCTCGTATTCGTGATTTGATCATTTTGGCCTGAAATTTGTCTTATATGTGTGAATCAATTGTCGCCAAATTCCATCCAAATCGCAGTCTGACAAGTACCAAAATGTTTGTACAGGTTCTGGCTACACGATACAAGTCCAAAACTGAACAAAGGTCCACCGCCTGGGTGTCTCGTGGAGCGAAAAATGTAAAAAATGCTGAAAAATTGCCATTTTTTGGGTCATTTTACACTGTAACTGGCCCAGAAGGCCTTTTCAAGGGCTGATGTCTTGGTAAAAGTTGTAGATATTGACGAGCCAAACAAAACCCCATCAACACTTTTTGTCGAAATTTGGTTGGAATAATGGAATTAGTCGAAATGTTGCGATCCAAAATGGCTTCCGAAATCGCTGTCATGAAAAATTTCATATAATTCTTGCCTCATGATTTTGTATGGTACCCATATCATTTTTTTTAGACAGATCATATTTTTTGAGGTATATTTTTCGAAACTGGCCGGACATTCCGGATGAGGGAAAACTTTTTTTTTTTGGACCACTCTAATATACTCATATATTTCAAATCCTCTTTAACATAATTTACACCTATGAAAACCATAAGCTTTCTTTTTCCTCACTCATTCAAACTTTTTCCATTCGGGTTTGTCTTTTTTTTTGCTCATTTTTTTATTCAAATGCTTGGTTAATCTTTAGTGTCATTACAGAAATTGGACATAAAGTTTAATTGGATTTTTCCATAGTTTTGAGTGATAAAATGTTTATTTGTGGATTAAAACAATGAACACCGTGTTGCACCATTCCATAGTTATTCTAAGCATCCCTTGACGATGCCCTTTATTAACAACAATATTGCTTTCTGTTCCTACAAGTACAAATTCATAAAACGTTTTTTTTTCTCTCTTTCTCTGCCGTTTCGTTTATAAACTTTTGAAAACTATTACAAAAGTGGATTATACTTACGGCTGGTAATAACTTGACCAAGCGACTAAGCTCCAACTGTGCAGTGAGTTTAAGTTTCAAATAACAGCGTCTGCATTAAATGGGGAAAAAAAGAAGAAGGAGACAGAGAAAACAACGAGCACCATTATAAAATTACAGTTTAACGTGTAAGTGAGTGCAAATGAGTAATGTTTGGGCTCATAGTAGAAACAAACTTTTGATTGATTCCAGTAAGTGAGGCGCATTTTATGGCGTTTTCCTGTAATTTTGTCATTGATTTTTCAACCTCATCAAACCACCACTGCAATTCCGGGTTGTCATCTATAACCGTTTGAACGCCATCCTATTCGAAACAACATTGAATCGGTCGGGCGGAGTGTTCAACGAATCGGTCGGGCGGAGTGTTCAACGAATCGCAATGTAATAGACAACAAAAATTAGTTTGAAACGCTTGATTGATATCAATTGATGGTACATGGATCCCTAATAGATATCCAATTTGTCTTACTCTAATGCATTGGATTTGGTCGTCGGTGATGGGAAGTCCGTTGTCAAGCATATAGTCAATTGTGAGCAAATCGATATCGGATACATCAAAGTCAAATTCCGCTTCACTGCTCGGCAATCCATTTGCAAACTGAAATCGCGACAAGTGTACAGAAATCGAAACACTTTTTTTTGAAGAAAATTTACTAAAAGACGAGAATATTATCTACCGTCACCACCGAAGTCACAGCAAAAATCACTAGAATAAGCTTCATCCTTGTTATTAATGGGTTTTTGTGTTAATTGAAATGCACCGTTTTAAATTGTAATCACTTTTGATTTCGTTCGTTCAATATGTTGCTCAATTTATAGCAATTTCTCACATGTGCTACATACGCAACGTTTCACTCAAGTTAAATAAAAATGTGCAAACAATAATTTGATGCGTACATTTATTGTTTGGTTATTATCGGATATCGCGATAGTGATAAGAGTCGATACGGTGTCAATTAATCTTGAGAGAGCCTTGATTGAAAGTGGAAAAAAAACATGATGTACGACTCGAAAAGATACCGGCGGATAATTGAAAACAAAGAAAACACCCGCTTATTTGAGGCAACAATCAACGAAATCAGGTGATAGCCTCACGAAATTATCTTTGGAGTAGTAAACCCAAGCATTTCAATAATGCTAAATATTTCGCAATATCTTACTCGTAACGCACACACCTCATGTCAACCGAATCAATGATTATGTTCCAATCGGTCACGCGTATTATACTCACCCAATCGGTGTGATTCATACAGCGGCTGGTGGGATGTCAAAGTAAATTGAGGCGACTTTAGCGCCCCCCAATTTCAAAGTGCATATAAATGTAATTTATAATTTCAAATCGAAATTAAACAGCGCGCCAAGTTTAAAACCTGGTGCTATTTCCGTCCCAAAATATGAAATATTTATGAATCTCCTTCGTTTTCTTTCTTTTTGTTTACGACTATAATTATTTTTGTTGTAATGTTTGGCGATAAAAATCTCATTTTCTGCCCACTTCTTTGACATATTTATTTTTATTTTTTTTTTAATCGAGAATACTTCTACGGTCTTCTTCTGCTTATTTGCTATTGTTATTGGGTTATTTATTGGATTATTATGGCAGCGTTTGAGGTAATCTCCGAAATTGGATAGAATTAAGTGGATAAGTCCATTCATTTAGAATATTTTTTTTTAAGTAAACCAATTTGTCAATTCCCCGTGGAAATGTTTCAAGTGAAACGATTTCAAGTGCTTCTAATGCATGATGCATCATCCATCTATTGTATGCTGTTATCATCATTAATCGATGATTACAACGCATATCCAATTTGTCAAACGAGAAATTCGAACCGATCGACACGAGTGCATTCGAGTTGAATGAAAGCAACATGATTGAGTAGACACTTTCTGTAGGCCAAGGTGTGATGATGTAATGTAATCTTTTTTTAGTTTTGATAAACAACACGTAAAGTACCGTTTTATAACTAAACAAACCAGATTTTTTTTGGTTTTTTCTTCAAATGAAACTAAACAGAGAGATTGTTTCTTCAAATATGACTTTATTCTACACCGCCACTATACAAAAAGAAAAATCGCCACCATGAATTGTGAACACTTCAATCATTGTGATATGAGTCATTTGTGTATGACTTTAGTAAGTAGTTTTTGCGTTGAAAACAATAGCATTATGGCATCATGAACTTTAATAGACACTGTCGTTCGACAAGCATGTTTGGATAACATTCCCGAGTTCTTTCAAAACTTCCTTTTGTTCCTGCAAACAAAAAAATTCAAAAGTGTCTTATAAACGAACGTTGGCTTGTCATTCAAAGAAGAAAAAACGTAAACAAAACCGAGAGTAACACTCCATTGCACTTACTTTTGACAATTTTCCGTTCAAGCGATTATATTCATCGTGAGCGGTTCCAACTAGTTTTGTATAGCATCTCCTACGAAATTGATATTGTTGAATATTTTATTGTTTACAAAATCAGGTGGAAATTAAACTGAACGAGAGGCTCTTGTCACGAGAACATCAATTAAATACTTGCAATATTTCTCGTGCAAATAGTAAAACTTTAAATTTCATCTAAGTCACGCAAAAACTACTTAAAAACTAGACTCACAATTGTTTTAGTCCCGAAAGTTTTTCGCATTCTTTTAAATTTTCTGCCAGTTGCTTCACTGATTCCACCACATCGTTGAACCATTCTTGTAATTCTTCATCGACAATGTCTTTATATCCCTCCTAATTGAAAGTGGAAAAATGTAAATTAATCACTGGATTAAATACCGTGACATCACATCGTATAATGAATTAATCGTAAACATTGAATTATGTCATCAAAATGTAACTATTCCACTCACTAAAAGACATTGGATTTGTTCTTCAGTAATGCGAGTCGAAATACCGTCAAAGAAATTAAATGCATTAAAATCCATGACTTGAACAGCGCTGCCTTGCAAACAATCTGCTACGACTTTCTGAAGTGCTTCCAAACACTTTTGTTGTTCCTATGACAAAGAATTTAATTTAAACAATTGTAAAAACACTTGAAAAGAAAAATCTTCAGGCAAAATGATTCAGTAAACTAACTTGTGTCACGTATCTGAATAAGCGACCGTATTCTCTTTGAAAATCATTGTAAGATTGTACATTGCATCTCCTGCGGTGAAATTTCCCAAAAATTAAATCATCAAGGTAAAAGTGAGTGCAAAGGAAAACTTACAGTTTTTCAAGCCAGTCTGTTAGTGTACCGCATCGTTTGGCATCTTCTGCTAACTTAGCGAATGTTTGTGTAATGTCATCAAACCACGGTTTTAAAGCGGGATTCTCTGAGGCCACTTTTTGTAACCCATCCTAATTTGACATGGTTTTTATTTGATTTGAAGTAATGAACAGTTTTTGGAAATAAAATGAATTATTTTTATGATCGGAAATGGGCTCACTTGATAGCATTGTTTCTGTTCGTCAGTGATACGAGTATCGTCTTCGTCTAACAATTGACTTGTGAACACATCAATTGAACCATCATTTGTGAGTAAAGCTAATCCATCCTGTTCTTCAGTAATGCGAAAAGAGTTACCATCAAAGAACTCAAGTGCGTTAAAATCCATCGCTTCAACCGCGTTGCCCAGCAAACAATCTGTTACAACTTTCTGAAATGCTTTCAAACCTTTTTGTTGTTTCTATATCGAACAATTTAATATAAACATTTGTAAAAACAATTGAAAAAAATGGCTACAACAAAATGGTTCAACGAACTAACTTCTGTCACTTTTCCGAATAAGCGCTGGTATTGCATTTGAAAATAAACATAATATTTGACATAGCATCCCCTACGGTGATATTTCACAGAATTAAATCATCAAGGTAAGATTGAGTGCAAAGGAAATGAATAAAGTTTATTCAATAAATTTACACTTTTTTAAGCCAGTTTGTTAGTGTACCACATCGTTGGGCGTCTTCTGCTAACTTAGTAAATGTTTTTTGAATGTCATCAATCCACGATGCAAAAGCAGGATTTTCGGATGCCACCTTTTGATATCCATCCTATTTTGACATGGTTTTTATTTGATTTAGAGTAATGAACAGGTTTTGCGAATGAAATTATTTGTAAATATTGGAATTGTGCTCACTTCAATGCATTGTTTCTGTTTGTCAGTGATGCGAGTATCGTCTCGGTCAAACAATGAAAACAATGAGTTTGATTCTTCTTTTAGACATTCTTCAACGAGTTTCTTGAGTTCCTCCAAAACCGTTTTTTGCTCCTGCAACACATAAATTTTTTATATTCACCAGCTCATGCGAGACTAACGGATTTCAAATCACACTCACGTCGTTCAGATTTCCAAACAAACGTTTGCGTTCTTTAATTGTAACAATGCTAAGCTGCACAAAGCATAACCTACAATAAGTTAAATCGAATTTTATGATTTAGATTAGATTTTCAATGCAGAATATTGTTGCTCGTTTCGAAAATTGCAGCATAAAAATGAACCACTTACCTTTTCTTGATGCCGGAAAGTGCATGACAACTATCAGCAAATTCCGTCAAATATATCGATGTCACTGCAACGTCATCAAACCATTCTTTCAAATTTGGATGCAAATCGATGATCTTTTTTTCGCCATCCTGAAAGAATTTAATTGATTTAAAACGATTACACATAATCTGATGAAAATATTTGTTATCTATTATTTTCTTTTAAAGAAATAGGATAAAAGTATTGAATTCATTCTCTTAAAATTGTGTGTTTAAGCTTAAATAACGCATTTAAACTTATAATGAGTAATCTTCCTAACGAGTCTTAAATGATTTGATTCATTAAGAATCTCAAATGAATTGGAGTGTTGTCGAGAATGGCTTCACCTGAATGCATTCGATCTGTTCATCGGTAATGCGGAGGTTGTCATCTCCTGACAAATGTACAGCCAGAAGGCTAACATGTTTCGGTTCATTGGACGATCCGTTTACAAGCTGAAAAGTAAAGAAAATATTAAATCTGGTTTTTATATTACAGAAAGAAATAAAATCAAAAGATGAAGAAAAAAAACGTGTACCACTGCTGCTGAAATCACAGCGCAAATAAGAAAAAGCTCTTTCATTTTTCCCCACAAAATATTTGTTTCTATCAAAATATGATGGTATCTTGGAAATGTATTAAACCAAAAAATCGATACAATGCCCCTCAGTCTCCCAAAAACAATTGCTTCCGCTCTGCTAGTGGACACCAGAATTTATACGGTTTTTCCTGGTGATTTATAAAAATGTTTGAGTGTTTTATCGCAAGCAGTAGCAGAAGCAGCCAGAGAAAAAGAAGAAACAAAAGAAAATGTTATCAATGATCAAACTATCATATGATCAGTGATAGAAATCAATACCCAATTAATGGAAAGAAATGTTGTGTATTGTCGAAAAGATAAAAAAAAAAATAAATAAGGACCCACTATCTAGAATCGATAAAAAAATTGATATCAAAGTGTCTAACTAAACAAACTTTGATGCAACTTTAAAAATAACGAACGAATTCAATAATATTGACGCTAGATAAAATGTAATAATAAAGAATACGTGAAAAGTAGAAAGACAACAAAACAAAGCAGAAAAGAAAATCATTATTTGACTTCAAAGTCATGGGAAGAGTTTGATTCATTGGGTAAATATTGCTTCAAAAAAAAAAAATGAAATCCGATCATCGCGATGAGTCTTATGTTGTTTGTTCAACGTGGTGAAAGAGAAACAAAAATTGCATGACTCAATTCGAATGACCCCGGCCAATATGAAAGAAATGACAGAAACGAATAAAAGTTTTTAATGAGAAAAGGAATGGAAAATAAAACACAATAAACTCTAATTAAGTGGCAGCCGCTTGGCAGCGCACACCTTTCCCTAATTGAAGTCAATGCTTGGCGTTTAACCTCACTGTGAAAACGGCTTTCGCTATATCTTCATTCATTTTTTGTTCGCTCTCTCTCTCTCTCTCTCTCTCTCTCTCTCTCTCTCTCTCTCTCTC